CCAAGATGTCTTAAAATAAGCAGAAGAGAAAAATCTCACATTTAATGTTAATCTTAGCTGTAATGAGATATTGTGCTTACAGTCGAATATTGGAAGTTAAAATTCTAATTTTATTTGTTTTTAAGATTGTAAAAAAGATGGAATAGATTATGGAGTGAACCTAAATATAAACTGGGAGCCTTTTTTATTTTCCTATATAATTATCTAATGAGTTTGCACTCCAGCTGAGTAGAGGTAAACGTTTCTTGTTTCTGGTTGTTTCTACTTTAGTTATTTCAATCCAAACTAAATTCATGTAGCCTCCTATAAAAACATCTAAAATAAATTCCATCCTGGTAAATTGAAAAAATAAAAAATAAAAATAAAATAATTTGGCCTTTTAATTTTGACTCTCAATGCATTCCTGTGTTCATTTTTTTTATATTTGCATTTTTTTTTTTCTTATTGATTTTTCACAAACTAGGATCACATTTTAAACATTATCTTAAGGTTGGAAAATGAATTCCTTGATATTATTTATTCTGTGCTTTTATTTTACCAATCAGTCTGTTATTTGACCAAAAGATTTCTCTATCCCTTTAAAGCCCCTTTTGTTAATTTTCCCTGATTTCCTATGTATGACTTTTCTCAGTAACCATCAGCACAAAGCTTTAAAAAAAGATCAGATATTATCCATAGGACACTCAGATAGATTCCTTCATGTGTTTACCTTCTTTTATTTTATTTTAATAAAACGTTTGATCTTAGCCTAAAGATTTCCCCTATTTTGTTATGCAGTAGTTACGATTATGAATAATAAAATTGAAGCTGACACATAAACTGGAAAAACGATCTAGAAATCAGTAAATATTTTCTTAAATAAAGTGAATTTATCCTAAATTTGAGGAAGTTAATGAGATGACTTGCCAATGAAATTAGTATTTTTTACTCCTAAAATAATTCCAAAAAAAGAAAAAAGAAAATAAAAACAATTCACTGGAATTTGTTTCCAAGTTTGAAGACGTTTTCACTTCCCTTCCAAGAAGCTTCTTCAATTTAAAATGTCAGAAATGGCGTTGAGTTGGAGGTTTTATACAGTAGCCCAACAAAGCCTTGTTTTTGATTAAAAAAAACATGCAAATTGAAACAGACGAAGGGTCCACCCCTTTGGAATGAGGGTCGTTTGCTTATTTTGTTAGCCTGCAATGCCACATACCTGTCTATGTCTCTGAAAGTGGGGTTGTTAAAGGGAATTGTTGGCCTGGCTGAATAGACGAGGTCTTTTGTTCCCCTTGTAAAGCGGTCAGGTTGCGTTAATAACCGGAAGGGATAGCTTTTGAATTTTAAAAGCTTCCTGGATGGGAAGCGAAACATCTTCAAACTTTGAAACAAAGTCCAGTAGATTGTTTTTTTATTTTACTTTTTTTGGAATGACTTTGACCAGGATGACTGGGAACCTTCTCCAGCATCTGAAAGTAAGAGGATAAAATAAGAAAATGCAATTGTTTTGTTTTAATATAAATTTATCGTTCCATTAGCAAAGTGTCTCACTTAACTCCTCAATTCAAGGACAAAAATGTACTTATAAAAAAAAAAAAAAGACTTATTTACATTTCAATCTTTTGTGCACTGTAAATAAGAATTGTTTTGTTTACTATTAAAACTGTAATGTGTAAATGCTTAACAAGGACTTTTTTTACATAAGTAAAACACTATAAGCTAACTGTGTCTATTTGATCATTTAAAGGAGCAGACACCAGATGTCGTCCTCCAGCTGTTCAAACAAAACCCTACAGCTTAATCATCATAACGATGGCTCTGCTGAGTGTAGTGGGGTTAGTGGACATCGGGGTTCGACTCAAAACCTGTAAGAAAGCTGAATTCTGATCTTATTCTATGATTTTCTGTATCCTGTTAAGAAAAACACAATTTGAAACTTATTTTTCCCGCCTTTGATGTTTTTTTTTTTTACTGTAGGTCTTTCAGATATTGAGGAACCTCAAAAAACCTGTTTTGAGAACCCCTCAGGTGAGAAAATGATCACAGTTATATAATTAGAGTGTTATGAAATAATATTAATCATTTAACATACTAACCAAACAGATGATTAGTCACTTCTTGGAGGCTGGCAGGAGATTACATTTAATTTGTGCTTTTATGTGGATCTATTAATCAGGTTGAAAGGGGGAGTGTTGGCCTAATGGTTAGAGCAGTGTGCCTGTGCTTTGAGAAGGTTGCAAGTACGCCGCACAATGGCAGCCCACTGCTCCCCAAGGGGATGGGTTAAATCCAGAGAGTACATTTCCCAATTTTTGGAAAACAAAGGAATTTACATTTTTTTATTGTTTACAAAACAAGATTGGAAAAGATGTGAAGTAAGTAACCAGAATGGCAGAGCTTAACATTTATCTTAATCTTTTTTTTTAATCATTAGTGTTACTTTCTATTTAAGGAAGTATTTATTGATATTGAGTATATAGTGTATGATCTATTGATATTAACAATGAGTCCCTTCTTGCAGACTGGCAGGAGATTCGTACGTCACGTCTTTTCTATACATCCACTGAGAAGAAAAACTGGACAGAAAGCAGGAAAGACTGTCAGAGGAGAGGAGGAGATCTGGTGATAATAAACAGCAAAGAAAAACAGGTTTGATCGTTGAAAGATTATTGTGTTAAAGTGTGAGTTAAATCAAAGATTAAAAGAAGTGTTATTGTTAACTGAGGTGAGATTGATCGTTTTTTTCAATAAACGAAAATGATAATTCATAAGAGCCTACAAAAACGCAACAAACGCTACAATCTCGGAAATAGAAGCGAAAACCTAAAATCAGCAAAACAAATGCAAATAACCAAGCTGCAACCACACGGTGCTCCAGACCAATAGAAGGAGTTGAAAAAAGAACATAGAACTATGCTGTTATGCTGTAATGCAATGGGACTATGTGTTGGAAATTAAGGAAAACAAACATCTCCAGTCTTTTTCCTGCATTGCAGCTTGATTTCCTATTTGTATGGTGAGGGTCTATTCCGACATACTTTGTTCTTTATGGTACTCCCTCTAGTGGTCTGGAGTACTTGAGTTTAGAACTTTAATAGGTAACAATAATACTAAGGTTTCTAGTTTTAACTTCATTATTTTTAAAGCAATCATTAGGATCATAGTTTAGAACTTTATCTTTCCTTTCCAGCTATTATCAAACTACCGGTATCACAGGTAATCTGCTCATTTCAACAGGGCAGAACCAAACCGGTTTGCACGTCCTAACAGTCTAATAATATGCCCACCTGTTGTAAGTTAAAAAAAATAACAGCATGTGTGATTTAGTGCTCCTCATTTGGAATCTTTAAAGATCAACCACTCAGGGTCTGATAAAATATTTTGAATACTTTCTTGAGTATTTAGGACAGATGGGTTAACATTTTTCCATTCAGTGTTTATCTCTATTTGCTGATTAAGGGGTAACTTTTTCATGTCTTCATGCAATCTGGAAAAATTACATAATTAAAGTGCTCATTACATATGTGACCTTTAGGGTTAAGATATAAGATCAATAAGTTTTTAATAATTTCCCTGTGTATAATATTTATAGATACAGAATTTTTTGTTTGCAAATGATTGAACTATTTTAATTAAATCTGTTTCATGTTAATGTTTACAGTGTAGTGGTTTTATAGAGATGTTTAGCTGCCAGTCTAGGTCCAGTGTCTGCTAATATTTAGTAATTTAATTTGTCAAAAACATATATTCTAAATTTTCTAGTTTTGTCTCTTAATGAAATACTTATGACTCTCAGTTTTATTATTTTTACTGTCTACAAAAAATTCATTATAAAAGTTTTTCTTTTACCTCTTAATATAGAAACCATTTTTATCTTCTAAACATTAGAGCAATTTTTTATTTGCTTTACATATTAGATATTTCCAATAATGTAATCATCATTTTGACAAAAAGGAAATAAATAAATATTCGCTTTTTACAATTCATGTAGGATATTCTCAGAAGGATGAAGTTACATGGAGATTCCTGGATTGGTCTTCAATCAGTCAGCACAGGGGGATGGGGAGCGAAAGCAAAATGGAAATGGGTGGATGGATCAGAACCACAATATGTGTGAGCAGATTCAGATTTTTTGTTGATATTTTGATCAAAGTTATGTTTAACTGACTTGTGTGACGTTATCTTATTATTTCAATGATTACATTTACTCACTTTGAATCTTTGTTGTTAAATAAATAAATCTGGATTGGATTACTATGATTCTAAATGTGCCAAATGTATTATTTATATCTAGAGCTAATTTTTTTCAAACTGCTACCCATTTGATCTATTAGAATCATTAGAATAATTAATAATGGCATTCAAAGGAACAAAAGACATTTGTATTATAGAAATCTGACACTGCCTCAAAACTACAGTAAGGTGTTGAACACAAACAATCAACATCCTAGAAAAACTTAATTTTTTTTTTTTAAAGCACATTCTTATGTTTTCTGGCTTTGGCTGATGGTGATATGTTGATTCTTTGCAGGTCCTGGAAACTTGAAGTAAGTACAATGGCTGAGGCTGGGTCCAAAGCATATATTGATCAGCAGTTTCGTGAATTAAAACACTGGATCTGCGAGAAAAATAATATTTCACATACTGGTGTCATTCACACTTAACACGCAACTCTGAGATGTAATGATTTTGAATTGTTCCAAGAGATTTCTTTTTAATAAGTAAATCAAATAATAAAAAAAAAATCTTGTGTAAAAGATGTTAAACATTGCTTTTCGCTTTATTTAAATAAAGGAATCCAAGTAAAGAAAACCACATCCATTATCTTACACGCTTGTCCCAATTGGGGTCGCGAGGGGTGCTGGTGCCTATCTCCAGCAGTCA